CAGTTTGTTGTTATTGCGTGGTGGAGTAATGGATACTTATAGACGCATTTAGTCTCATTTTCTACCGTGTATAGTTTCCGAATTGAACAATTTTTGCCGTGGTAGAGCTGTTAGTTTTTCCAAGTGGAGGAATGGGTGATTTTCTGATCACAAACACGATAGGTAGTTTTTGTAGGTTATGTTTTCCTAGGTAGAAGTAGTTATTTTTTTTTCGTATATATGTATCGCTTTAAGGTGGTTGGCTGCATATGAAATGATAACTAAGTAGTAGGTGAATTATCATTTTGGAATTGATTGCATATTGTGATTGATTTTTTGGTAGGTTGTTTGCCTACAGACTCCTTGGTGAAAATTCTTCAAGGCATGAGCAATCGTGTGACGAGTAAAAAATCGAAAATTAACGGACGAGCAGAGCAACTGATTAAACGCATTGCTGAGGTGGTATCGGAGAGAGCTCAGCAGGGAGGTAATAAAACGGGGAGGAAATTTTTTCGGGGAAATTTTAATTTTTTTGTTATTTTCAGATATGCAATTGGAATCACTGATTTACTTCTTATTGCGAATAACGCAACTCGATCGGCTTGAACTCCTACAAGTTGCGGCGAATCTTCCTATGCAGCGATTCGATGAGTTTTATACTACTCGCGATCAGGGATTGGGTTTGTTAGCTACAGCATTACAGGTGAGAGGGCAGTTTTTCAGGACTAGTAAAAAACGATTCCTGCATTTTTCGCAAAATCTTTTAGCATTTTGTGGAATTTTTTTGAAATTTTAGCATTTTGTCGCATTTTTTTCTGAAATTTTAGCATTTTTGGTCAATTTCTGGATTTTTTCTGAAATTTTAGCATTTTTTGCAATTTTTTAGTCATATTTCGTATTAATCAGTTGAAAAAGCCTATATTTTTTCGTGAGAAGAATTTAGTATTTGCCGTTAATCAAGTGATGTTTAACACTGAGACTCAAAACGAGAAGAAGTGTTGAATTTTCATGCGAAGCGAGTCATATCCTGTCATCCCTTCCTGTGCGCTGGTTCGTCCAAAATATTCCTCTGCGACTACGTCAGTTGAGCTCTCGGGAGACATTAGGAAGAGTGCAGATTGTGTATTCTTCGAAAATATAAAAATTCTTTTATTTCATGTTGTGCGCTGTGATTGTTAATGAGTGGAAAAAAGCCCCTACCAGGGATTGAACCCGCGGTCATTCACAGTTTCTTCAGGTTACTCTCTTATGGAGAGCAGCCAGAAATCGAGGAAATCGTTTTCCAGAATTTATGTATTCTTTGGTACGCCCTGACGGCCGACACTGTGTAGCACTCGCTGATGCGGCGTTGGCTCATCTATTAGCTGCCGGGCGTGGCGATTCGATGCACGGGGAGGAGGACCTTGTTCGGGTAGGAAGGGGAAATATGCATATGGTCAACTACATGTGTTGGTGAAAATTTTGGGAAATTCTTGTTGGTTTTTGTAGTACACTTCTACGCGAATTTTGTATGTAAACTTGTATGGTTAGTTAGGCACCTTCTGAGCTCAGCTGAGAAAG